CGTATATTTATTTAATCGATGTAAAATGTTTCATTTCACCATATAACTTGATATTTTCGAAAGAAAACTAACAGATTTTTAAATCTTAAGTTCATATATTTATACAAATTACTTTTTCTATGATTGTCAATCCTGATATTTCAATCCAAATAAAAATATCAGTATTTTTTTTCCACATTACCACACAAAAAATATTCAATACATTCTTATGGTTAACTAAAATTTTGTTCAGCTAGTAAACGGCTGGACAATGCGTACCATCGATAATTCGCTTATCTGCATGTATAAAATAGACCCCAACACCTCTGTGGTCGTGGTCACTTAGCCTATTGACCAGTCCTCCCCGCGGTGCCGGCTGGGGTACGAGTAACCATAGGAAAGATCGGGTAACCAACCCCGGTAGGACCTTGCGGACAAGGAAGGGGTGAATCCTCTCTGCGGATCAGTGTTGGAAAAATCATTTTCAAAAAAAGTTCCATCACAGCTCATTGCAGAGATAAATCCCAAAGGAAAGTTCGCGAACGAGAGATCATAAAAAGTTCATGAAAGCGTAGAGCGAGAGAAATTTTCATTTCGTATCGCGAAAGATCTTTCGTCTCTCCATCTCACATCATTTCACACGTACTCGTGATTCGAACCAACCAAATATCCCCTCAGCTTTGTTCTTTTTTTCCAGCGAGTAAAGGTAGGCGATGATCACGCGAGAGTGTCTGTCTGTTTTCTTCTTGTTCTCCGATATTTTTCGCATCCTTCACATTGAATACCATTTCCAGAGAACTTTGAGATTTGGGCGTAATTGCTTTTGTAAACAAACACGTCATTCAACGATTTCTCACGAATCAAAGCACAATCTAGCGAGCTATACTATACCAAATGAATCATTCCTCTACCTGTTTGTGTTGTTAGTTTTTTAGATTGAACTTTAATTCACGAGAAATCGGCGAATTAAGTGTGTGTTTACAAAAGAAAATACGCCCTAATCTCAAAGTTTTCCGGATGTATTTATAGTTTTAGTTCTCAATGCAACCAGCTAATAGTAGATACTTGTAACTATTCATCAAGAGTACAATCTTTGCTGATCAAATCATCATTTGTGGCTGTACTCTTTGACAAGAAGAACTATGCTATTAGTGCGAAGTACAGTTAGACCACTGAGATTGGCGCTTAGACATGTTTAGTGTAAGCTAGCAAGCATTCTGTTGATTAGTATTACTGCATTGAGAACATGCTTATTAGGGTGGTTCAAAATATCGGCTTTGCTTCACTAAGCTCAATCGATTTTTAATCAGGTCCAGATAATTCTCCAAAAATTTGAGCTTATTGGGTTGTGATCTCATTCTGCACTTGCCATCCAAAATTTATAAAGGTTTTACTATGGGAAAAGCGATTATTTTGTTCACCTCGTCTTTAAATTTCGCCATAATGATCTACCAATAAGTTAGCCTTGTGTACTCATAGGAAATTTTCTCAGCTACATTTTTTTCTAAAGACCACTTTTTAATTGAACGTTGAGGAAATTAGTTATTAATTGATTTCTAATCTGCTAATATTCGTTCAAATTACAGCGTATATCACGTGATATACGATGTCTTGCAATGAGCACTCATACATCTAGTTTTCACTGGAAATCCTATGTATGAGTGCTCATTGCAAGACAGCCTATATTACGTGATATAGGCTGTAATGTGAACGGGGTATAACTTTCTGATTTGATCACTCGACTGCATTAGGTAGAGGGCAGCAATGTAACCCAGTAGCTCGCCCGGTAGCTTGAATTTCCACACAACCTTGAATGAAAATATTAAATTTGCTAGAACTGGTGCCATAAAGCTACTGTAACTTTTTTCATGGATCTCATACTTGCAAAAAAAATCTATTAAACATCGATTCTAAATAATTTTTATTTAGCAGGTGTATTCACTTGGGAATCCATCACTTCGCAAGTTGAAAGTATTTTGAGATTGTCTGTTAGTTTCAAGTCTTGCAATGTTGCAATACTTGTGGATGAAAAATTTAGATCGTTCTCAATCTGTCACTATATCAAAAGCTCAAGGTACATGGTTACTTTGATTAATTTTGTGTTCATTTCCAGCCAACTGGTATATGTACACGGAGAAACAATACTACCCAAAATTTGAGTTCTTTTTACTTAATATTGACTTCAGCCTCTCACTTGCACTCGTTATTGTTGTCAAAAAAGGAACGAGAGATTCGACCCAACGATATAGTTCAGCCCAATAAGTTCCTTTTGAGTAAATTTCATATTCTTAAATTTACGTGAATTAAAATTAATTTTGGGTAGAATATACTTAAGAGTAGGTATTTTTTTGCCAGTGTTAAATGGAAACTCATGTTGAAACTACTTTATGCGATTTACTCAAATTTGGGTTATTGGGCTGAGCCCCAGAATTGAGGGAAAAGTACTTAATTTTGGGTAGTTTTTCATTTCCGTGTATAACAATTTTTCGTTTTCTTTTTTTTTCTGCCTATATTTTTTACAGTTTTAATGGACATTGAATAACCTGTTTAAATTTTTTATCATCCTAAAATGCACACTAAAAAGATGTTTTTGTCAGATCCTTGGTCAGCAAATAAAGCGTTTTGAAGTTCAGCAGTGCAGCAGTCCCGCATACCTTATGGTTTTACATAGGGAGGGTCTAGACCCTTTCTCGTTTTACATTGTTTTACAAGGATTCCCAGTCATGGGAGAGGACAGTAATAGCACAGCGGAAAAGTTCACCACCACCTATATTCCCAACCATCCCCCCCCCCTGCATATAATTATTGCATAAGAGCTTACAGGAACGATATTACGAACACCAGTGATGAGAGGAGCCATGCATTAACTGTATTTCGCGAAACTGAGGATACATTAGGCGCTCCTCCTTCCGCACTCCCCGCCCCCCATCGTGAGGAACGGTTTTAATATAAAAATTGCTAGTCACAAAATCTTACACCACCCTCCCCGTTCTTCGTTAATGTCGCGTTGACACTTGTGCTGATTCATTCATTTTGTTTTGCCAGAAAACAATGCACCAATCAATCAGCTGCACAAAACTGTTCACATCATCCTGATAACGGTTACTTTAAACAACAGGCGCTAGTAGACAGCCAGCTACCAGGCTTATCAGGCTTTAGAGATTTATTGATTTACTGGGGATAGCTTTTCTGTCTATAATCTTTCCCTTGTGAAATGTGCAGTGCAATTTTCAAGAACGAATGTGGTGTAAAGAGATAGAGCGAAAAAATGATCTGATATTTTTCGTATCCTCGCGTTGGTGATTCGAGTTAAAAAAGTTCGCGATATCTCATTCTTTCATCCCAGAAAGTTCACTCAGGAAATATTTGAGTGTGAAACTAGTGAGGGAAAGTTCCCAAGAGAAAACGTATCGCAAGCGATAATGATATTTTGGTGAGAATTCCATCACTGCTGCGGATAGTGCAGTCTTCGAGCGTCTGCTGCTCAAAACGGCGTCTGTTCTCCATGTTAGGAGCGGCTGATCGGTGGGACTCTAAACAGGGCTATGCACCATGGTCCTCCGGCGAGACAATGGGAGTTGGTGCAGGCCCTACAAGCCAGCCGTAAAAAAACTTAAGTACATGAAGCAAGCTATGTAAATACGGACCGGAACAATCGGCATAGACGCAGGTAACGAAAACGGACTAGCGATTGGAAACTCGGAACATGGAACTGCAAGTCTCTCAATTGCTTGGAAAGTACCGCATTCTTTCCGATTTATTGAGGGTCCGCAAGTTCAACATTGTAGCGCTGCAGGAGGTTTGCTGGAAGGGATCGTCTGTACATACGTATAGGGATGGGTATACCATCTACCAGAGCTGCGGCAATACACATGAGCTGGATACAGCTTTCATCGTGATGGGCGAAATGCAGAAGCGCGTGATTGGGTGGTGGCCAATCGCTAGCAGAATGTGCAAGTTGAAGATCAAAGGCCGTTTCTTCAATGTCAGCATAATCAACGTGCACAGCCCTCACTTAGCAAGTGACGATAAAGACGCTTTTTACGCGCAGTTGTAACGCGAGTACAACAACTGCCCACGCCATGACGTCAAAATCTTTATCGATTTCTTAATACTCAGGTCGGCCAGGATTTTAACGCTCAAATCGGCCATAAAATGGAATTCAGACCGGTTTTAGGAAAGTTCAGCGCTGACCAGATAACGAACGCCAACGGCCGCCTCTAAGAACATGGTCATATGTAGTACCAACTTCCAGCATATCTACCAATATCGGCACACCTGGAGATCACCGCAGCAGACAGAATCGCAAATCGACCACATTTTGATCGACGGAAGGCTCTTCTCGGACATTATCGACGTCATGACCTATCGCGGTGCAAATATCGATTCGGACCACTACCTTCTAATGGTTAAGATGCGCCAAAAACTTTTCGTTGCCAACAACATTCAGTACCGACGTCCGCCATGGTACAATCTGGAGCGACTGAAGCTGCCCGAGGTCGCAACTGATTACGCGCAATGCCTCGACGCAGCGTTGCAGGATGAAGGAGAGCTCACCGAAGCCCCTCTTGATGACTGCTGGAACAACGTGAAAGCTGTCATTAACGGCGCTGCTGAAGGTGCCATTGGGTTTGTGGAGCGGAGTCGATGGAACAATTGGTTCAACGAGGAGTGTTAGACGGTTTTGGACGAGAAGAACGCAGCGTGGGCGAGCATGCTGCGCCAAGGAACCCGTCAAAGTGTGGAGCGATACAAACAGAAGTAAAGCAGTTGGTCCCCGGTTCATGAGTTGATGGGTCGATAGGTAGGGTCCAGGTGTGGGAGCTGCCTCCCTTGCGTCGGTAGCATTGGTGCTCAGCAAGGAAAACAAGATCTACGGAAAACAAATCAAGGATAAAAAAGAAGCACCGCGTGGAAGAGCTGTAGTGCGAAGAAATGCAGCAGCTGTATCGTTTTCACGAAACGTGCAAGTTCTACCAGAAACTCAACGCATCCTTTGAGGCTTTGTGCCGCGAGCCGAAATGTGTCGGGATAAGGAAGGGGGTATCTTGACGGATGAACGTGAGGTGATTGAAAGGTGGAAGCAGCACTACGATGAACATCTGAATGGCGCAGAGGCAGAGGACCAAGGCAGCAGGATGAATGACATCGTCGCTACAGCGGATGAGGGAAACATGACGGTTCCCACGATAGATGAAGTTAAGGATGCTATCCGACAGCTTAAGAACAACAAAGCAGCTGGTAAAGATGGTATCGGAGCGGAACTTATTAAAATGTCCCGGATAAGTTGGCCACTTGTCAGCACTGACTGATAGTCAGGATCTGGGATACAGAACAGCTACCGGAGGAGTGGAAGGATGGAGTAATATGCCCAATATATATATAAAAAAGGCGACAATCGAGCGATCATTATTCTCAACGCGGCCTACTATGTGCTTTCCTAGATCATCTTTCGTCGTCTATCGCCGCTATCAAGCAGATTTGTGGGATGTTATCAAGCCGGTTTTGTGGACGGGCTATCGGACCAAATCTTTAGGTTGTGGCATATGATACTATTGGCCGTGACGAGCTCTGGAAGATTATGGACGAGAACGGTTTTCCCGGGAAGCTGACCAGACTGATTAGGGCTATGATGGATGGTGTACAGTGCTGCGTAAAGATATCGGGTACGTTATCGGACCCGTTTGAAACTCACAAAGGACTTCGACAAGGCGATGGTCTTTCCTGCCTCCTGTTCAACAATTCGCTAGAAGGTGTTATGAAACGTGCGGGCTTTAACATGCGGGGCACAATCTTCAATAAGTCCAGCCAGTTCATCTGCGTGGACATTGTCGGAAGAATGTTTCGGGCCGTGGCGGAGCAATACACCAGGCTAAAACGTGAAGCAGAGAAGGTTGGATTAAAGGTGAATACGTCGAAGACAAAGTATCTGTTAGCTGAAAGAACCGAGCGCGATACGGCTCGCATAGGCAGAAGCGTGACAATCGACAAAGATGAGTTCGAGGTGGTGAATGAATTTGTGTACCTCGGATGATTGATGAAGTCGGATAACAACTGCAGCAGAGAAATTCGTAGACGCATAATTGCCGGTAGTCGTGCTTACTACGGACTCCACAAGACCCTGAGGTCGGGTAAATTTCACCCCCGTACTAAATGTACCATGTACAAGACGCTGATAAGACCAGTAGTTCTCTACGGGCACGAGATGTGGTCGATGCTTGATGTGGACCTGCAAGCACTGGGCGTTTTCGAACGGCGAGTGAGTGCTTAGGACCATCTTTGGCGGGGTATGTGAGAACGGTGTATGGAGGAGAAGGATGAACCACGAGCTGGAGCAACTCTTTGGCGAACCCAGTTTCCAGAAAGTCGCTATAGCTGGACGGGTACGATTGACGGGACACGTTGTAAGAATGCCGGACAACAATCCCGCAATGACCTGTGATTTTCTGTAAAAGTTTTGTGAATTCCCCAGTAGTTTTGTAAACTTCCCATGCTGTCCCATAGTATGCTTTTTAAAAATGCTATTGAACATAATACACATAAAATAATATCATAACAGTTTGATTTTTTTTTTCAGCATCACTATGGCGCAGCCAGCGAAAAGCCTTAAATGCCACCTTTGCACCATCCGTTCTGAACAGTTTTATTCCCAGATTCGAGCGCTTCGCGAAGCTCCTGGTTCAGGACCTGTCCGAGAGCGCAGGCTGCACCGTCAACTTGCTCCGGTTTTCTTCGGCATGTACTTTTAATATGATTTGCCACACCACAATGGGTATCGAGGAAAGCGATAAGGAGGAAATCGAGACCTTCGTTTCCAATATGGATCAGTATGTTATGGTTAAAGTTCAAACTATTGCGGTTAACCTAATTCTTGTGCTCAGACTTACAGAGATTGTTGGTCGAAGATTCCTCTCCGTTCATCTGCACTCGGAACGCGTATATCGGATGACGGCAACGTACCACCGAGAGATGGAATTCCGTAGAAAGTGCAACAATTATGCAATGAAAGTCTGTTACTAGAATTACGATTTGGTATTCAATAATTGATCTAGAATATATGGTAGATTTTGAACGAGAAGATGCAAAACAAAGACAACAATCGAACGCGAAAAGTCTTCATCGAGCAACTGTTGGATGGAAGCACGTTAGGACGTACCTTCACAACTACGGAGATCGTTCAGAATGTGTATGGAATGCTGGCCGCTGTAAGATTGTCGTCATATGTTGGTACATAAACTGAAAATAGTAAATTTTCCATTCCACAGGGTAGCGAAACCACCGCGTTGACAATTGCTCATGCGTGTCTGTTTTTGGCCATGTTTCCGGACATCCAGGAAAAGGTTTTCGGTGAAATTTTTACACTGTGGCCAGACTCCGATCAACCTCTTACAGCGGCAACTCTTTCCGATTTAGTCTACATGGAAGCGTTTCTGAAGGAAGTCCTAAGGCTGTGTCCGGTGGCCCCGATTATAGCACGGGAGTCATCAGCACCTGTGGAACTGGACGGGGTCAATTTTCCGAAAGGAACGATCTTCATTCTAAATTTCCTAACTTTGCATCGGCGATCGGAAATTTGGGGATCGGATGGCGACTGCTTCGATCCGGAGCGTTTCCTCACGGGGAATGTAGAAAATCGGCACCCGTTTGGATTTCTTCCGTTCAGCGGTGGTCAACGCAACTGTATAGGTCAACGGTACGCCATGATGAGTCTCAAGGTGATGGTGGTGCAGTTGCTGAGAAGTTTTCGAATATCAACTCAATTACGTTACGAGGACCTACGGTTTCAATTTGGATTGCTTCTGGAGCTGTCTTCCGAATATCTTGTTCAATTTGATAAGCGGTCCGTCGATCCGTTTCAAAATGAGACTGGAAAAATCTTCAAAGAAAAAGATCTGCTTTGCTAGGTAACATTTCCATTTCAATAAAACTCCATCAATAGTTAAACATTTATTAAATCACCTCAATTCGCATTATCGCTTTGACTGCAGTTCTCGAAACTTTCGAAATACTCTCCATTCAGCATAAATGTGTCAATAAGCTGAGCATAGAGACAAGCCTCAATGGTGACTTCGTTCAGCTCGATCGCTTCAATCACGTGATTGTAAATCTCTATAACTTTTGATTCCACAAATTCCTGAGTTTTTCTGAACATTCCAGATGCCTGAAAGTAATGAATCATGTTTGTGAATTTCAGTAAAAAATGTCCATGTCACAGCTCCTATTACCTCTTCTTCACACATCTCAAACGGAAGGTCACTCTTGACCTGCTCTGTCATCATGGCGCAGCTCATGTAAGTCTTCATAATGTATCCGATGGCTTTATCCGTTGAAGCAAGAATTGGTTGCATCCATCGGAATGCGTATCCCATTTCTTTCTCAAAATCAACACATCGGTATAATTTATCCAACGAGTGAAGCATTATATGATTTAAATTCCTATAATAATTTGCCACGCTGGTCAAGCGCATTTCACCGTTCAAAAAACACTCTAAAGCATGTTCCCTTATATAGTCGTCAGATTCTTCGGTAATATTGAAAAGCCCAACCAAAACATCCTCAACCAAATCAACCCACAGTTGCATGAGATCCTTCATGTCTTCCTGCAAAACCGTTGTTTCATTATCCAGAGAGTCGAAGACATCATACAGTGTGGCTATTTCCGGGTGCTTGTCCAGATCTATCACTGCGTTGTCCGAAATGATTGCATTGAAATCCCTAACCAGTTGCAACCACTTCGTAGAATACATGGAAATATTCCGGCTAATCTCCTCTGCAAACATTTGATCCACCTGTTTCAAGCTGGTCAAAATATACTCATGTCCGTGCAGAGCTCGTTCCACAAAAACAGCACTTTCCAGCTGACTTGAAACCACTGCAATATCCTGCAACGCTTGATCCAGGTTTCCGCGATAAGTAAACGCTTCTACTTCGACGGCTTCCAGACCAGCCTCGAGCAAATCAACGCGATTTTCCGCAACCAAATTGCAAAGATCGCGCACTTTCACCAGCAGTGGTTTGGTCACCGAACCGAAAATCACATTCGCACTGCTCAATGTCTTCAGATCGAAAACCCTTTCGCAGTCATGGATCACGTTTTCCAGATCGTGATCGATAAGTTTCAGCACCCGCAGTACCACCTCGATGCTCTCCTGATTCTGCGCTAGAAATTCGTCTATGATCACTTGAACTTCATGGTCATTTTGATGGTCAGCGCGGTGCTTTCCGGGAATTAGGTCCTGTAGGGTTTGCAGCTCGTGCATTAAGGTGTCCTTCATTTCCATCACCCTTGCCGGCAGCAGCTGCTGTTGCTCCCATGCTGAAGCCTTATGTAAAAATACCTTGAGACTAAGCTTAAATTTTGATTGATGACAAACTACCTGGATAATGATACACAGCAAGAGGAACATCTTTTTCAGAGGAGTTTACGGTTCAACGATTAAGGTGGAAATACTACAGTTGTGGGAGAAACCCTAACGGGTATCGTTTGGCATCTTCCGCATATCAACGTGCGATTGTCAGTTACGGAATACCGTTGATAACAGTAATTAATTGGATTCGATACGCCTTTGTGCTAACTCATTGTCCAGAACAGCGACAATAGATGTGGTGCAGTGTGATGCACACCGAATCATACTGATGTCTCTTGAATTGCTTCTCGTATGAATGTATGTGCATTAGTGCTTGGAATATTGGAAATCTACGTTCCCAACTAGTTTTTGTTTTAAATGCATTATTCCTTCAGCATTTTTAGGTGATTAATGTTTTCAGTACAACATCATGTCACGTCTTATTTATGGTAATTAATAAGTGACGAAGTTATACCATAGAGGTAACTCTAAGACCACTGGGTCCCGAAGAAAATCATTATTATTTTTGGCTCACTCAGTACCAGAACAACGGTCCCAAGCAGTCCCAAGCTATTTCACTCACCCCTGCATGTTCTGCATGAATCCACACACCCCTGATGTTATCTGTCAAACTTTCATAGCGAATCAAAACAAACATAGTGTAGTAATAGAATTTCAACTAGAATAGGGTACGTTAATCGTTTGCTTGGGACCAATAGGCTACTAAAGTGGTGAGCCAATTTAAAATCGTTAGTTTCGTATTGATTGTTGGTTATACTGGGTGGATTACATTTTTTTCACCTTGTTACGAACGGCAATCGGTCAGCGATCGAGCAACGGGAGTGAACAGGTTAATCGACCTATCTACGAGTCCCTCTCACATCCAATCCGGTAAACAGTGCAGCATAGCTGTCCAGCGAAGTGTCATTGAAAATGCCAGATAGGACTGTCAGCGTGATTCGACTGTCATACTGTATTGAAAATTACTATTATCTTAAAAGTACACATTCTTCTAACGCGTTGTCCCATTAATTATCCTAGAATTTAGTTCTAATTTTGTAGTAAGTAAACCTAATTTCTCTTATAATTAAAACGAATACTAATTGTAAAAGTAGTTCACAGCGACTTGATTTGTACAAACAAAAACACACTTGTTACAAGCAGACGGACAGTGAACGTAAAAGACTAGAAATGTAAGTAACCTAAAAAATACGTCATGCAACATGAATTTATCTAATAAAACTAATTTCAGCCTAAAGCTTATTCTAACAGCAAAACCGAGTTTGCTTTTAAGGGTCCGAAACGTAACCGTTGCCGTAACACACCTATTACAGTCAAAAATTCTTATTGACGGTAGCTCTTATTGTCAGGGTACCGGCAATGAGAATTCTCAGATCTTGTGGGATTTTCACTAAATGGGCTGTTGTGGATTATCTCACTGTATCATTATACAAAGCTTTACTGCTTTCGTCAAACTTCGAGTCTATTTCATGGTAGCTCAGGTTACTCAGGTTCAATCACCCAAGTAATAACTGCAAAAAAAAGAAATGGAATCTAGACTTATGAAATGGTTCCAATCATACTTAACGCAACGCAAAAAAATAGTTCGTTTTCAGAATAAACTTTCTGAAACTATTTCGGTCACCTCTGGGGTGCCCCAGGGATCTCATTTAGGCCCAATTCTTTTTATTTTGTAAGTAAACGAAATTTCCTACATACTTAATAAAAAGTTCTTATATATGCAGACGACGTGAAGCTCTTCATGGAAATAAGTAATTCTAGCGAAACAGAAGAATTCCAAAATGCAGTCAACTTATTCAAAACATGGTGTAAAGGGTGATACGGTTAAAATTTGGTCAAGGGAAAACGCGTGTAAATCGGTGAAATCGTTTATTTAAAAAATCAAATTAAATTTCTTTTTCAAGTTCAATTAGTATAAAATTCAGGAAAAATATTCAGTTAGGCTTCCGCTTTTCCAAATCCGAATTGCCGGGCCTTACGCTTGACCCCTGCCATCAGATTTTGTACAGCCACCTTGTCCACCTTCTTCGCCGCAGAAAGCCAGTTTGCCTTGAACTGCTGCTCGCCCTTAGCAGTTTTTTTGGTCTTCTTTAGGTTCCGCTTGACAATAGCCCAGTATTTCTCAATTGGGCGGAGCTCTGGCGTGTTGGGAGGGTTCTTGTCCTTGGGAACCACCTGCACGTTGTTGGCGGCGTACCACTCCATGGCCTTTTTACCGTAATGGCAAGATGCCAAATCCGGCCAAAACAGTACGGAACAACCGTGTTTCTTCAGGAAAGGCAGCAGACGTTTATTCAAACACTCTTTCACCGGAAGCTATGAAAATGCTGCTTTTCAAGCCACAGGTACAGATGGCTTGCCAAACCAGATATTTCTTTGCGAACTTTGACAGTTTCATGTGCTTGAAAACATCTGCTACCTTTCCCCTTCCTTTTGCCGTATAAAACTCCTGTCCCGGAAGCTGCTTGTAGTCGGCTTTGACGTAGGTTTCGTCGTCCATTACCACGCAGTCAAACTTCGTCAGCATCGTCGTGTACAGCCTCCGGGATCGCGCTTTGGCCGTCGTATTTTGTTTATCATCGCGATTTGGAGTCACTACCTTCTTGTAAGTCGATAGTCCGGCTCGTTTTTTGGCTCGATGCACGGTTGTAGACGATACACCCAGCTTATTTGCGGCATCTCGGAGAGAGAGGTTAGGGTTTCGCTTGAAACTACCGGCAACTCTCTTTGTCGTCTCAGCGGCTTCCGGTTTTCGATTTCCCCCCGATCCAGACTTCCTGGCTGTCGACAAACGTTCCCCAAACACTTTAATTACATTTGTAACGGTTGATTTGGCAACTTTTAGCGATTTGGCCAACTTTGCGTGCGAGTAGCTCGGATTTTCGCGATGCGCGAGCAAAATTTTGATACGCTGCTCTTCTTGCTTGGACGGCATTTTGACAACTGAAGAGTGAATTCCAAAATCAAAATAGGAGCAACATTCTACACACACACACCTTCAAAATGAGGGGTGTTCAGGTTTTTTAAATGCAAAATTGAAAGAAATACGTCAAGTTGATATTGACCAAATTTTGACCGTATCACCCTTTAGTAAAATTCTATTTCAACTCAATTTTAAAAAAATGCAACGCAATTGTATTTAGCAGAAAAATAGAAACGCGTCTTTTTGAAATATTTTTAGGCAACCAAAAAGTAAAAAAAAATGTAATATTGTAAGGGACCTTCAGCTATAATTTTCAAGAACCATACAATGGTTTAAAATTGACATTTTCTTGTTGTTAAATCATGCGGATGGTTACTAGTTTTTCAGCATCAACTTAACTTCAAAGTTCAACAAAATCTTGCACAATTATGTCTATTTTTAAATCATTAGATATTACCGATGTGAGATTTCTCAGAATAAAATTGTTGTTTGAACTAAACATATTCAGATTTTTTTCCTGGTTGGGTATTTTCATCACTGCGACCCTTTTTCTGATCTATTGTGATATATTCCCCATATTTTTTTTCTTTAGCTAGGGGAAATATTGGATTCGGCAATACCTTAACCTATTATCGTCAGGGGGTAAACAACGTCCTTGAGAGCTCAATTTTGGCATGTGGATACATTGTGTTTCAGAGCATATATTGGCCAAATTTGAGTGCTCTAGGACTTTGTTTACCCCCCTGACGATAATAAGTTGAGGTATTGCCGAAGTCAACATTTCCCCTATATCAAGATGCCGTATCACTATTATTAGGAGTGATCGCCATCGTTTGACTAATAGCATTATCCCAGCACGTCATTATACTTCGAATAAACTGCCGTACTGGGAGTTGTTCTCCAAATGTCTAAGCGTTCTATCAGCCCCTTGTCGAAGAACTTACGCCTTTTATTGACAATTTCCGGACAGTGGCATAGCAAATGTTCTGAGTCTTCCTTTTTTCTATGCCACAGAAGCGACAAAAATCATCTCGAAGTTTTCCAATCAGCTTCAAGTGATAACAGCTCGGACAATGACCTGTTATAAGACCTGCATATATACTAAGATCTTTTTTAGAAAGTTCCAGGATTTTGTGGGTCACAGAAATGTTTGGATTAATAAATCACTTCGACTGCCTAGCAATAGAAGTGTTCTTCCAGTTTTCCTCCACTTTTGAAGATTCCCACGCTTTTAGCTCCATTCTAAGAGATGCAGCCGATAAGCCACAAAAGGGCTCTGGCCCGATGATCTTATGAGAAAATCCGAGTCTTGCTAGTGCTTCAGCTCTTTCATTTCCCTCAATCCCGCAATGACCAGGAACCCAATATAAGTTGACTTGATTATGACAAGACAATTTTTGAAGTGATTGAACACACTCCCAGACAAGTTTTGATGTACATTTCTATAGATGAACTAGCCTAAGGCTAAAAATCTCTTTAATAAAGTCTAAAAAAAATGTACATTTCGCCGACTTTAAAGCATTTAGAGCAGCTTGACTGTCGGACATGACGCATACATTTGAACTCTTATAGTTTCTACGCAAACATACAATGGAACACTCTAAAATTGCTTGGATTTCAGCTTGGAACACAGTTGGCCATCTGCCCATAGGAACCGATATTTCTATCCCTGGGCCAGTTACTCCTGCTCCCACTTGATTGTTCAATCTTGAAACATCTGTATAAAAAACAATCGATCCTGGACGAAGAACCTGGCCACCAAATTGCCATGAATTACGCCCAAGGTCAACTACTTGAAAAAGTCGATTGAAATTGTATCTTTTCTCCATCCACTCTTCGTTGTTCCTTACTAGAGAGTTGATACTAACAGTTTTTAGAATCCTAAGATGTCCTCTAAGGTCTCCTTCAAAGAGTTTCACTGACCTTGTAATCCTTAGAGCACACTTTTCGGCTTCTAATTGTACAAATTGATGCATATAAAGCAAAGCATCCAATGCATTCGATAGTGTACTTCTCATTGCACCTGTTATTGAGAGAGTTGCTAACCTTTGGAGTTTTTCTAACTTTCTCTGAGCAACACTCTCTTTTGTTTTTGGCCACCAGACCAATGCACCAT